GGTAAAACTTATGCCAATTTCAATTTATCATGGACACAGTTTAACCACATATGAGTCCACTGAGGAGAGGGAAGCAGGGATTGGGTTTGTACTTAGGGGACTGCAAAGTAAGAAGCCTCTTGCATGGTTTTACCTAAAAGTGTATTAATGAGCATCCACTTGGCATTAATCAGAACAAAGATTTACCTTTGGTCACCTTGAAATGCCCTTTTCCTAACCAATTGGTTCTCAACAGGGGGTGATTTTATTCCCTCCTCTGGGGACAAAAATGTCCAAAGACATTTATGCTTGTCACAACTAGGGAGGTACAACTAGCATCTAGTGGATGGAGGCCAGGGATGTTGCCAAACATCCTATAATGCACAGGACATGCCTCCACCCCCACAACAAACAATTATTCTGCCCGAAGTATCAGTGATGCCAAGGTTGAGAAACCGTGTCCTAATCTATGCTGCTTATTTTCTCACCTCATGCAAATAAATAACTCTTTTGGAGTCAGTATGATCTAGACTCGAGGGCACTAGGTCATCACGTATAGGTATGTAGGTAGCAATCCGGAAGGAATCATATTCTGGACAAGGATTTTGATCAAAATGGAAATTTTGAGGCATACAAAGTGTACACACATAGTATACATACCATCAGAAAGTTCACTGGGATTTTTATTTTCCACAACTACTACTCATGATTTTTCTGGGCAATCATCATGTCATAAAATACCTCTAAACCATCAAGAAATGTCAAATGATGAGCAGTCTAATTTTACTTTTGATTGTATATACAGTCTCCCAAAACTTTAAAATAATCATATTCATTAGTAATATAAGTAACTCTCAAAGTTGTAAAATAACCCAACCTCCTCACTTATAAATGCTTCTTTGTTATAAAATGAGCCTTTGGCCTTACAGCCACTTATGTCATCACTATGACATGACAAAAATGAAAATGCAACATTAGTGTGGGACAAAGTCAGGAAAGACACATGCCAAACTATTAACATTAGTTATTTCTGCAGAGGGGAAGAGGAAAAAGGAAAACACACTTTCTACATTTACAGAATTGTTTCAAAGTAATGAACTTGTGGGCAATTTTTTTTTTCATTTTCAGTATTTTCCTAATCATTTTTAAAAGGAGGTACCGGAAAAGTAAAAAAGACAGAATGTCTTTTACCTTATACTCCACTCCATGGACAATACCATAAAAATCAGTTTCTATTATTCCCAGACCTTGGCCCTTACATTGGAGCAAACACTTTTGCTCCAAAATATAACACAGAAAATATGACATTTTCTGTGTTACATTTTATGTCAGGGTCCAAATTGTTTCCACTTATCCCCATAGACAAAAACTTTCACAGTTTTTGAAATTAGGTTGGAAGAGAAGTTGAAGCTGGGGTCTTCTCCTCAGAGAGGTCTAAATAATGCATTCTTCTTTTCCTCTTTTCATGTTAAGGCTGTTTTCTCGACTCAGCAAGATAGGAAAAACAGACATAGGTTTGGCCACCTTCCCCACTCTGCCTCTTGAGAAGGGCTGAATCACAAGGGCTATTAAGAAGAGATGTCCGTGAGATCCCAGAAAGAAGCCTTCCTTACCTTGGCAGGATCAAAACTGAGACAGTGGAGAATGCGCCCCAGTCTGCAGCCAGGGTCCTTCCATAGAACTTTGTCAGTCAGAGTCCCAGCGAGAAACAGAAAACGTCCTCAGATGTAATTCTGGATCCTGTATTTATTTATAAGCAGAGTTGTGTCCATTGTCTATTCAAGCAGCTCCACTGGGCGGACCGGTCAGCTGGCAAGTCTGCCAGGGGCCGCTTTGGCTGAGAGGCCGGGCCTCTCGCTGGGGGTCTTTCATCCCAGGCTGCTTTGCAGCACGGTGGTTTCAGGGTTCTGCAAGAACCGGCACAGACGCCACAGGGCCTTGAAGTCCTGCAACATCATTTCTTCTACTTCCTATTGGTCAAAACAACTTGTAAAGCCATACCTGGTTTGGGGGAAAGGGTAAATAGACTCTAGTTTCTTGATGGGAGGAACTACCAAAAATGCACAGGAATTAAAGGAATCGACCATGGGTGTGGAAGTTCTGGGTGAGAGCAGCGGTAGGAAGCCATTAGCGTCCCTGGGCCTCAAGGAGCCCGGGAAGCAGGAGTGTGAATGCTGCGAGGCCGGCTGTGAGGGCTGGAGCGGAAGGAAAGGGGCACCACAGGCGCTGGAGCGGAGATGCAAGAACTGCCAGAACCTGCTGCTCAACAGGGATGGAGTCCGCTTGCTGCCATCACTTCTCAGAGCCCAGCAGTGGCCAAGTGTGAAAGGAAGCCAGAGGTCAGGGAGCCAGGTGATGTCATCCTCAGAAGCTGGCTTTCCAGAACACAGCGCAGGGTGGAGAATGGATCTGTGGGGCAAATGAACAGTAGCCGGCACAATCTTATTAGCTTATGTGGTGGAAACACAGGGTATTTTATTATTTTAGAAATACACCTCCAATGCTGAATCGCCTTTTCAATCCCCAAATGATCTACATTTGAAAGTTTCTAGTGACAGAATGCTCACCACCTTCCATAGCAGCGCTTTAGTCTTTGAACAGCCGTGACTACTAGAAAGCATTTATATTCAGACAAAATCTTCATAGAGCTTCCACCTGCTGGTTTCATTTTATTTCGTCAGGATGACCCCAAAAAAACCCCAAACAAACAAAAAAACACATTTACTCTGATTTTCTGGTCCTCAAATACTTGAAAATAGCTATAGCATATGCCCCAAACCTTCTTTCCTTCGTATGAAACATCACCAGTTAATTCAACTTTTGTTCACAGGACAGCTTCAAATTCTTTCACCATCTTGTTCCTTCTTCTATACACATGGCTAGTCGGACAGTTACCCCCACACCAGCGGAGTATCCAGGTGTGATCTGACCAGGTGAAGTGGGACATTTGCTTGCCTTCATTTAGAAGTTCCACTTCAACCTAAAGCCAGTTTCTCTTCTAAAGGCCACCTCACATTGTGAACTGTATCTCTTTCTACCTCTTCCATCCATGACTCTATGGGCTCCTTCTTAGGGTTTAATATGATTCCCAGATAGTTGTTGATTGAAGGATGGATGGATGGATGGATGGATGGGAATACAGCCAGGAAAGTCACTGCTTTGCTTTCACTGTTCAAGGATTTCAATATCAGCAGAGGAGAATGAAATGAAAATGTCAGTCCTTTTTATTGAAATATTGGGAAACACTAAAGTGAAGGACACGTTTTTTAAAAGTAAAGTTAAAATAGAAAGAACAAACCTTTGGAAATAGAGCACTTCACCAAATCCGATCAAGGATTGTCATCTGTCTCTTCATTTCTAATAAATTCTAACTAGCTATAGAATCACATTGATAAATGCCTTGAGGTATAGTATATTTTTTAGGCAGAAATATCAATTTGTCTTCTCTAATCTATGTGAAAGCCTTGACAAGTCTGGTGGAAATAAATGTTTCATCTATTGAATCAAAACATAAAACTAAATATATCTTTACACATAACTTCCTGTGTTTGGTATCACATGGGAATCCAGGAGGAGTCTATCAAATGGAAACATATCATTCACTTCATTTTCTTTTTTCAGACTTAGAAAAGAAGATCCAAGATTTGAATCTAAGTAGACAAGAAAAAGCTGATCAACTGAAACAGCTGGAAGATCAAGTCATTGCCATTAAGAATGAAATTGTTGAACAAGAAAATGAATACGCAACCTGCTTCATTTAGGCAGAGCTGTAGTTAGGTAAAAGCCTGGGCCTTGGTTTCCGGTTTCTGATGAGCAAAGTTGAGGGGCTGTGCTGAGCTCAGGGAACACAGTGGTCAGTCTCTTCGGCCTCCCCTTCCTGGAGCCCTCTCCCTGCTACAGGTCTCAGTGGCTGGAGAGTGGAACTGGGCCCAGGAAATGCCACATCATGTGGAATAAAAAGGGGGAAGTAAGGAGATTGTCCCTGGTTTCAGAAACCTCTCCCCTTGTCTTTTGTAACTTAAAAATAATTAGTTACGTATGATCAGTACGAATCTAAATAGGTATTCTATTTACTAATACTGACTCCTTTCAGTCAATTGAACCTAAGGTTAAATAAATAGCCAGAGGCTGGGGCTGGAGGAAAATGGAGAGTTACTAAAACAACTGGCATAAAGTTTCAGTTAAGCAAATGAATACGTTCTAGAGATCCGCTATACATTTTATATATAGTTAATAATGTATTGTACACTTAAAAATGTGTTAAGAGGGTAGATTTCATATTAAGTGTTCTTACCACAATAAAATAAAAATGAGTAAACTTAAACAAATTAAAATAAATCAGTATCTCTAATACTAGGATAGAATAAATATGGATGGTATATACTAGATTATCCTATATTTTATTTTTTTTTAGGTTTGCTTTATCTGTGAAACTATTATTCTATTCTGAATAAAATGTATACAGTTCAAAATGTAACTTGTTTTTACACCCACTTTCCTACATATTTATTCTCTCAACCAAAGGATTCTGTTTTCCACAAGTGGCACTGGAACAATATTCAAAAACTAAATATTGAACTACTTTCCATAATTTGTCTACAGGCATTTCTGCTGTAAATATCCTACTTATTTTTTAAAAGACTAGCAATTATGTTGTTATTGTTTAGTATAAAATATCAAATTGTCCCATTTCAAATAGGTCTATGCTTTCACGTTAACTTTTTTGTATATACAATATATAATAGAGCACATTGCTGCTGTTTATAGAAGCTATCCTTCAGATAGATTATTTTAAGGGAATCTGGCCCCATGTTTTGAAAAAGAAGTAAATACATCAACACTGATGTGTGAAGAGGAAAAGCAGCTGGACCCATTTCTATTAAGGACCGACTCATAAGAGATGGATTCAAACATTCAACAAAAGGGCTTTAGGATTACACATAAATATGAAATTTCTTAAAATGTAGGTTATTAAGGAAAATTGCAGTTTCCCTCAAGATCCTGAAGAATAATAAAATGAAACTTTCCTACAGGAAGGTCGATCCCAGAAATCTCTCTTGAAATACACGATTGTAATGCACCACATACCCAGCACTTAGATTTGGAAATCTCCACCAAAGAATGGCGCCCAGAATGAACCAGAGAGTTAATAAAAAATACAGTTGCCACAAAATCTAAGTTGTTTAATGTAAAGGATGGAACACATCCCAGCTCCCACCGGGATACTGACTTTCAACGTTGTACAAATGTTAGACTTAATTTTACAAGCATGGTTGTCATTTACAATAGCAACATTCAACTGTTCTGCCTTCTCAGTGGTCAGAGACTTTAAAGTTACATGCTAGAGAGTGTGGAAAGGGTTGAAGAGGGGAGAATTTCTGTCCTCTGATGGGGAGGCTGTTGAGCTCTGGAGAGACAGAAAATTCCCCAGCCATGAAGAAAGCACAGTAACCTGGGGAATCCACAGCAAGATAGCCCATCGTCTCCGTGGGCCTCCGGGGTTGCAGTGTGATGAAGTTAGGAAGTGTGTGATGCCCTTTGGAAAGACTGCAATTACAAAAGTGGTTATGCTATCTAAATTTTGATGTTTAAATAATAAGCGTATAATTATCTTTAAAAAATACGTACATAGTGCTCGCTTCGGCAGCACATATACTAAAAAACATGTACACATGTGAGAAATCTCATTCTTCATGAATGTCAGATAAATCATCTGAACTTCTATTACTTGCCGTATCAGTTGTTCAAGCTGTGGCCAAGGCAAAGTTTCAATGAAACAATCTCTTATCCAATGCAAAGTAACTTGACAATGTATAGCAGGATCTCTCCTAAGACCAATGGAACCTGTATATTAAGAAAATCACCTTAAACACGGGGAAGCTTTGTGAATAATTCATTGCAGCACTACTTATGTCAAACAATGCAAAGAATCCAAATAACTAAGAATAAAAAATAAATAAATATTATTATTTTACCAGACTGAGTTCTTGGTGGCAAACACTGAAAACCAAAGATAGTTTATTTAGCAGTAAAGGAATTTACAGAAAGGTTGTCTGATAGCACATAGAATTGAACAAATGACTGGAGAAAATGTAACCACGGACACTTATGCAGGTGGGGTATATCCAAAGTCACACCTTGGTGACACTCAGGTTAGACTGCTAATGCTGGCCCTCCAGACACTCTCCACTATCCCATCTCCTTCCAGCTGTCTCTGCGCCATGTGTCACTCTCTCATGCCTGGTAGAATAAGGATCCAGTTCACTGAGCCTCTTCTTGTGCCCTGGCTGCCAGGGAGTGAAAAGAGAGAATATCTGCCCCCTTTGGCTTTGGTACTGGGAGGGGAGTTTAGCCTCCACCTATCTTTGGAATCTTCCAAGGTAGGGAGTGTTTCGGCGCCAGGCATCAAAAAATTTAAAAATTTCCATTATAGCCTACTTCTTTACTTCCATTTAATATCATAATACATTCTTTATCCTATATTTTCTTCTAAAACAAAAACAAATGTTTCATCAAGCATATGTTGCACTCACTCAGCCTCTGAGAGCACAGCTACCTGCCTTTGAGGGAACCAACCCAAAGACCCATCACCCACCAAGCCACCAGCTCAGAGGCTGTGGTCTCACTGCGCTCTGCTCCTTCCCTTTCTGTGACCATTCTGTTTTGAACTGCAGCTTGTAATGAAAATAGTGGCGTTCACCACCAACATCCATCAAGTATAGAATAGTGGGGGAAAAGAAGGGAGATAAACATGAAAGTAAATATTTATTTTATATTTTCTAAAAAAAAAAAGTAAGTACATACAAAACACTACATATTGAGAAGCAGAGATTGAGGTTGCAGACTTCATTTCTGTAACTTCACGAGGCTGTAGTTGGGATCATAAACCCAAATACATTTAGTACTCATTCCATGTGCCCTCTGCCTTTAGCAAGTATCTCTATATCAGGTACAGTGACCCAAACCTTCCCTCCGGAGTCCTGAGCCTTGAAGGTCCTACCTGTAGGGGTAGAGGGCTCTTACATTACACTTTCCCCTGAACGTGGCTGGATTAGATTGTCTAGACTGTAGCTGCACCCCACCCTGCTGCCACTGTGGACCCCCAGATCTATTTATTTCTCTTGAAAATTCAATATAATTACCCCAGGCAAAATTATAATCTCCCCCTTTTTTTGGCCTGTTTATCCTTTAACATGAGAATCCAGCAATAGCTGGGTATTGGTGTCTATTTCTTTTCTTTTCTTTTTCTTTTTTTGATATGTATTTCAATTCAGTGGAACGACTATTGTATTACCTAGTAAAAACATTCTTCCTTGGAGATCAGAGCCCAAAGTCAAAGGTACAGGAAGTGAAATTTTGCCTGTGAGTCATTTGGATATAATTGTGAGCAGTGTCACATACATTTCCATTCTTGGTTTTAGATCCATGTGTTCTGCCCATAGGATGCTCCAACCGCTTTCATGGTAGAATGGCTCTGCCTCCCATCTAAGAAAGATCATTTGTTGTGAGTAGCAACAAAACAGTTAATTAATAAATTAATTAAAGTATGTAAGGCACCTATACAACATGATAGTCAACTGATAATATGATCAAAAGATACATTTTAATTCTTCATATAAAATATTTACATGCATCAACATTCACACATTTTCTTTGCCTTTGTTATGATTATTCTAATAGTTTTCTAAATTTGAGTTAAGTGAACACTACATCCACCTAGCACTGGCCGATCTATTGAGGTGTGTGAGTGACCAATGTAGAGACATGTAGACTGAATTCTGAGTACCCCAGAGCAGGAGTTAAGTGAAGGGCAGTTGTTAGAGATCCAAAGTTGGTACCAAGAGTAGGGACCAGGCTGTAGAGACTGACACCGGCAAGATTCAATAATTGGGGCAGGCAGACAGATCTGAGACACTGAATGCAGAAGGGAGAGCAAGGCAGTGGACAGCAGACGGGGTAGGTCACACATGATACGGGTGTGCCAGAAAGCATGTTCCCAGAGGCCAGGGAGAAACATTTGCACCGCAGCCAGTCACATCAGAAAATCATTATGGAGATCAGGAAACAAGTGACTATGAGGTAGCTGGTGTGGCCCATTTAGAAAACAATTCAGCGTCTTCTCCTTAATTAGAAACCAATCCCAGGTGAAGGGCAGCTCATGGCCCGTAGGTGAGTGCCATTCACCAAAAGCACCAACGGGCAACATGAAGTGAAGGAAAACCGATAGTAGATCCTGGTAAGGACAAATGAGCCTGATGGGGCACGGGCTAGAAACTGCTGTCCAGTATTCATTCCCCGCTTCTTTCTTTTGCTAACAGAACTCCTCCATGTTTTAACCGCACACGTGGCTACCTACTTAGACTACCTTCCTAAACCTCCCATTACCCAATTAAAATTTTTTCAAGCATCACATGAAACCTGATCACCATATGGTTCAGCCCCTCTAAAAATGTAATTGAGAACAATTCAAATCTTTACATCAAAATTTAGAGGAAAGAAAATGTCAAAATGGAACAGAATACATACATAGGACAAAAATCCGTTCCCTATCTCTCCCACTGTGAAGACCAGGCTCCACAGCAGCTGTTGAAAATCCTCTCCTCTCTCTGCAAACTCCTCCCCACTAAAAACTCCCCAACCAAGGAGCTGTTCTCACAAAACGTTTCATTCTCATGGGCTCCCTCTTTTTCCTTCTAAAATCTAGTCTCTTCCCTTTGCACTTGGTCAATCTCTTTTCCCTGCCATGTATGTTTGTTTACAAGACTGTTGATATTTTCCAAGTTACTCGGCCATAAATTAGGGGTGAGCCATTCCCAAGTGAAGGTCACAGGCTCAAAGACATGCAACAGTTGCACTTCCCAGGCGGAGCTCAGGGAGTCAGGCTAGAGGAGAGGCTTTCCTTTTCTTTCAATCACACTTCGTCTAGGAAAAAGTGATTGCATTAAGTGGCTATGCAGGAAATGTTAAAGAACACATTTTAAAACATATATAAATATAAAGGCTATGTACATATACTTGAGTTATACAAATTTTGTATAAATGCAACTATAATTTGTAGGCTTCTCAGTAATCTTGAACATTAAACAAATCAGTTTACTCAAACCCTCCTGTGTACAAACACCAGCATGTACACACCCACGCTTCCCCCTCCCCACCCCATCCCAAAACATGCTTGAATAGACATTCTTTTTCATTCACTGTATGCTTCTAACTAAAAGTTTTTTCCCAGCCCTGGTTTGGGTGCTTCAGAAAAGTGAAGAATTTATGAACTTCAATCAAAGAGTTCTCACAGGCTTTTTCCATTATAAGCTTTAAGGCTTTCAGCCACAGCGCTGCCTGCTTACACTTTATGGCAG